TATTTATTTATTTAATATTACAGATGTTACAGTAGGCTATTTAGCGCTGTCATTGATCTGCAGTTATAATCAAATCCTGTTCATAAAAAAAGTTAGTAATAAAAATTTATACACAAGTATTTAAGTGTGTAAAGCGTCTCTTTTGTGAGAAGTGCTTTTAATATGATATGCGAGCGACCCGTATAGCATTAGTGTAGACATTTCTTCGAGGGAGAATGATGCAACTAAAACTGTCATAAACCACGCCCACCAAAAGGGTACCCTTGGTAGTGGAAACGCAAGCCTGATAAAGGTGACCCGTACCGACCCAAACCATTACAGTAGTGTAACAGTCAGTGGAAACGAGACATAATTGAAGTTTTAAGCTGTGTATTTTTTCGATTGTCTACAGAACAAACCATTTTACAATAACTTGCCAAATTACTCTAACCTGCCTAGTAAACCTAATTAACTTAGTTAAGCTTTTAAATGTCACTAAGCTGAATAAAACTATTTAGTCAAATATTATTTACTGTCATCATGGCAAAGATAAAATTATAGATATAATTATAGATAGAAAAAACTCTAATGTTTAGAAATGTGTTGAAAACATCTTTCCATTAAACAGTTGGGAAAAAATAAACAGGGGAGCTAATAATTCAGGGGGTTTAATAATTCTGACTTCAACTATATATATATATATATATATATATATATATATATATATATATATATATATATATATATATATATATATATAAAGGGAAATAATTGTTTAATAAAAAAACTTAATATATACACAATAAACATTGATAGAAAAAAAAATTACATGATAAATGAATTTAACATTCATAATTAACAATAAAAAAACTGTAAGTCATCGAACCTGGCCCAACCGTGACCTCAGTGGAGTGTTTGTTGATGATTTTGATTTTGTCAGAGAAGCCGTTTCTCTCCACGATGCAGGAGGCCGCCTGTGCCATGGGCTTGAACACCTGCGTGCCATTCACATACTGGTCTTATTATTTCATCTTATCTTATATTATGAATCAATACTGTATATATGAGCAGGAATGAGCACCTCTATGGCGTAGCAGAAATCAGCGCCAGCTGTCACTGCCATCATAGAGAGCAAACCTGTCCCAGTGCCAATGTCCAGAACCACAGGTCGCTCCCCGCGGGCCTTTACACGCCTCACCGCCGCTCGAATGCCCTCATAATATTTCTCATTCTTAGGAAAACCGAAGCCAGAAACATACATTTAATGTTACCAAAATATAAATTGAAAACATGAAACCCAGAAAATTAAAACAAGACATTCTGAAATAAATCAGTCCAAATAAAATATAATTTCCAACAGTTCCTCTGAATCTGTGTTCTAAAATCGTATATTACATGCGATATGTGAATTGAACACGTTTCATGATCATGCTTTGGTTTTTATTAAAATGTAATGTTACCATAAAAAATAAAAAACATGGATTTCAGAGAAATTAACATTAAAAAAACGTTTTGCATTTTATTTTACGAAAATGTATATGTTGTAGAACTTTAAAAATTAAATTGTACTGTATATGTAAATTTCACACTTCCTGTTAGCATACATATTATTAAAATAACACAACAGGATTTCTGCAGGTTTCACCAAGTCAAATTTAAGACAATTTAAGACCATTATGAATGAAATTTCAGATTTATAAAGGTCTTAACCGTAAGGATTTTTACTTGCCCCAATAAAAAAATGTAATTACTTGAATAATATTTAAAGAATGTGTCAAAACAAGCAAACCATACATATGTTTCTTAGACAAGCTTTAAAAACTTTAATAAACCAAATGTACAACAGTCTGTCCAGGTCAGTGTTCTCCCCACATATGGTCTATAAATACATGGAGAACTTACAAATGTTATTGTGAAGCATATTGTTAAAAAGTTTTATTGACATGTACTGTTGATGACTGTATACTGTATAGAGAGGAGTTGGCCTGATTTGGGTAGCTTTACATGGCCATTACAAAATTAAGACCCGTTTAAAATGATTTAAGTGATTTTTTTTTGCGAATTTAATGCTTTTTAAAGGCCCAAAATTTTGCTTTTGAAATTTAAGACATTAAGACCCCACGCATACCCTGTCCAAAATAATCAAACAAAAAAACATGGAGTTCAAAAAGACACCTTCTTAAAAATTGGGGTAAGAATAGTATTTATGAGAAAATTAATTAATTTTAACAACTCGTCACATCAAAAGTGTATATCCAGTTAATTGAATAAATGATTATGATTGCATGTGGGATACAAAATGTAATAAATAGCAAAAGTCAGCCCAAGGCACTCGAAACATGTAAAAAAAAAATGTACAAATTTTTTATTGTCATGCCATTCCTTCCAAGAAATAGCCATGTCAATAAAGCTTTTTAATATTTTTTCATTGAGGTAAAGTTGGTTTTATATTCACACATTTGTTCAGTGACAGCACCCTTTATTGTTTACCATGGTATTTTGAATATTTGGTCTGAAATCACATGTACATATGACTTCACAATCAATTAAATAGTGCTAATGTTGCTTTGAACAATGCTGTACATTAATAGTCATTGCCTGCTGATATGATTTCACTATTTAGTATTTGCAACGAATACTTTTCTGAGGAGAAAGGCTGAATGTGTGAATATAAAATCAACTTTACCTCAATTATTTTTTCCCACATTTTTCGAGTTATTCAGATGAATCCCTTACCAAAAGCGCACCGACACATTACTTAAACTAACCCTGAGCACTTTTTGTTAGGTTTTGGCTTTATACAAAACACTGCAATATTTCATAAAAGTAAACTTATCATTTGACTTTATTATAACTGGGAATCAGGGATTTTCCACCTAAAAATACTTTTATCATAATTTATTCACAGCAATTTTGATTTTCTTTCTTACATTTCAACTTATTTTACAAAACGTCATTCATCATACGACCTAATCCTTCTTATGGAACAATTACTTTGGATCCAGCAGTAATATTAGCATGTGTCCGACATCATACTCACTCTGTCTTTATCATGGAGCATATCTGCATAACAAGACCTAAAAAAGACACACAAAACACAATATCAGGACACGTTTAAATGATCTATATAGCATGACTGTCATTCGATAAACATTATAATTCAAATGTAAGGGTTAATTACTCGTCCACGTGTTAAGCAGCAACAAGTCACTGTCAAGTATTTTCGCGCCATTTCATAAGTTTGGCTATTGAAAATAATATTTAATTCCAGCCTTTCATAAGCAGCTAAATAATAATTCGTGTGTTTTTACGCTAATGTGACATGAGTCGCTTTTACACACCTGGCAATCTCCTGATGATAGTCATACTCCTCGCTTTCCTCAACCCAGTCCAGCGCTCCTGTTGTTGGATTTGCACGACCGCAAAACGTCTTCATTGTCTTTTCAGTATAAGTAAATAAAAGTATGCGTAAAAATTGTTACGTTCAATAAATATTTAATCGTTCACAGGCAGACAAATCCAACATGATCTCTCCGGGCGCGGCCATGTTTTTTCGCGAAGTCACGCCTCTAAAAACACGTGACCAACTCTCGTGTTCGGTCATTCAACCAAAATACAAACATGATGTGTTTTGTCATTGTTAATGCGTTAAGAGCTAAGGTACAACGATACGGTCGCTGATTCGAGTCCCGCCAGCAGGCATGTCTGTGTGGATTTTGCATGTGTTCATGTCCTACAACTAAATTAGCCTTAGTGTATGTGTGTGAATAAATGAGTGTTTAGATGTTTCCCAGTACTTGGTTGCAGCTGGAAGGGCATCCGCTGTGTAAAACATATGCTCGATAAGTTGGCGGTTCATTCCGCTGTGGTGACTGACTACTGATGAATAAAGGAACTAACCAAATGACAATTAAATGAGGTAAGATACAAATGAAAGGTTTGATGTTAAACTCTGGTAAGTTTTAGCTCTTATGAAAATTACAATAGGTTTACTACAAATAATAATAATAATAATAATAATAATAATAATAATAAAACAACAAAAACAATCAAAACAACATGGTTATTGTAGAAAAAACTAAAAAAGATTAATCATGATTTTGCTACACTTTAATCATAGTTGTGCCACTGTTTGTTATGCTACAAATATGAATGTGCAATAAATAAATGTAACACTTGTAACACTTCATTAGGGAGTGGAAATGAAGTTCAAACCTTCTGTGTTTCCCTCAGTCTTGGGAGGATTTATTATAAAACTATATTAAAGTTGCTATAGACTGTACAGAATGTGTTACAGTTGTCTTAATCGCTGATATTTATATTCTTCTCAATAATGGACACAAATTTTCTTTGCAGATTTTGCTGTGAACACATTATTTACATGCAACCAAAGAGATAGATGCATCAAAAATTAATGGTTTAACATTTAAATTTAATTATAATTTATTTGACAGTAGTGTTATTATTATTTCCCATCTTTGTAACCAGATTTCCCCCATGTCTAAATATTATTATGAATAAGATCCTTTATATAATATTGACTGATGAAAATTATTGCATCATGGTAGTGTTTTGAGATGTTAATACATCCATTTATTCATTTTCCTTCGACTTAGTCTCTTATTTATCAGGGGTTGCCACAGCAGAATGAACCACTAACTGTTCCAGCATATGTCTTACACAGTAGATGCCCTTCCAGCCACAACCTAGTACTGGGAAACAACCATACACTCTCACATTAACACACACTCATACACTATGACCAACTTTGCTTACCCAATTAACTTATAGTGCATGTGTTTAGATAGTGGGGGAAACCAGAGCACCCGGAGGAAACCCATGTGAACACGGGGAGAACATGCAAACTCCACACAGAAATGCCAACTGGTCCAGGTGAGACTCCAACCACCAACCTTCTTGCTGTGGGGCGCTGTGCTGTCATTCTCTTACAGTACATTAACAACCAACCGTTAGTGTAAAACCCTTGATTTAATGAATCCATGAATCAATTTTGATACATTGAGTTTAAAAATGCATTACTTTATTAACTGACAACCACAATATACACAAAGTGAACCACAATATACACGTTTACAGGGATGCTGTTTGGTCAGATTGACTAAAATATACATTCAAAAAGTGATTATAAATCCAATGAGCCAGTTTCCCTGCATTCTTGTATCTGTGTTGTCAAATTATTATACCAATTGTTTTGTAGGAAAGCATTTGCAAGATCATAATGTAGTATAATTTATCATCATAATGGCACTGAGCAGGCAAGACAGCACAGAAACCGATAGGCTAGTCCTAATGGATAGAGTTGAATTAATAATGAAGTTCCTGTCCATATGGCCGGATACAGTTCACGTAGTTGGTTTCTCAAGTGCACTTTGCAGTAGGCAGACAAAATGGAATGCTAGAAGAGGGCACCAGGATTTCTGTGAATATAGGCCTGTATCCTGGTGGTAAAGGTGGTGCGCTCTGATCCAGAAAATCTAATACAGACTTCCGCACTTCTTTAGGTACGTCACCTCTTATATCCAACAGCACAGAGACATGCTCCTCACTGAAAACACACACTTCGTTAATGACAATAAATAGCATCTCCTAGTAAAAAAAAATCCGGTTTTACTTTATGAAGATCTGTTAGGTTTGAAGTCCCACCTTATATCAGGGTACTTGGATAATAATCCAGAAATCTCTAGTAGTAGCATGCCTGGGTCTTTCAAATTGATTATGTCAGCCAGTGCAGCTATCAAAGCCGTGGGATTCACCTCGCCAATGGTCCCATCAATCTCCTTTAGATGTAAAAATGATATTAGAGAAGTTATTTAACTTTATTTTATGCAGGAGTGTCCAGAGTGTCTGTAGAATCCTGTTTCTATGATTTTTCATTCAGACCTTTAGATGGTTCAAGTCTGTTTCATTAGAGTTCATTTATTTTCCTTCAACTTTGTCCCTTATTTATCAGGGGTCACCACAGCTGAATGAATCGTTAAATTAGCCAGCATATGTTTTATGCAGTGGATGTCCTTCCAGCCACAAACCAGTACTGGGAAAAGGGATAATTCACACACAAAAAAAATTCATGGCCCGTTTTCACTGAGTGGTATGGTATAGTATGGTACATTTATATGGCTATTTCCACTGTCAAAAGGTACCAAAAAGTGAACCGTACCATACTGCTTTTTGGCTACCCTTTCGGAAGTGTACCTAGCATAACAAAAGGTTATTAAAAGGCGGAGCCAGACACGCAGCTGAATGCTATTGGTTTACAGAGAGAGGTCACAGCGCGTCCACAAGCAGGAGAATTAAAACAAAGGAAGTGCCATTTTTAAATACACAGCCGAGACTTTACAGCGCAATAATATATACATATAACAACGAGCTATGGTCGATCCAAGCTTAAACAAACCTTGTCGTCATCATGATGAACAGCCACAAAGCCAAGAAGAAGAGCAGAATCTACCCTGTGCACCATAATTGTTTACAAGGCCGTCTAAAGCACAAACGGTTTAACTTTCAGCGTCTATATTTGAAATAACAAACTTCTTGATAATAACGTGCGCGTGATTATTGAAGTGCTTCTGACAACTGATCCTTTCAGAAATAGACAAATGCGAGAGTCAGTGCAAAAAAACAAAGGAGAAGTCAAAAAAAAAAAAACAAAGTAGCAAATGATTCTTTCAGCAACCTAAAACATAAAAATACTGTCATGTTTAACTATTATCATCACCTTCTGGACTATTATGAACTCGGAATGACAAAATTATTTAAAAGTGGTTACATGTGATGGTGAAGATTAAAGACACATGTTGTGAGTTGGTTTTGAACCAAAATAAGGACTAAATGTATTCTGTGTCTAGTTTATCTGTAATTGGTAACATATCAGAGACTGTAAGGGTCAGTATGTGTTTATATATGTTGCATTTATTTATTTATTTTATATAATTGCAGACGTTACATTAGGCTGATCATTGATCTACAGTTATAATCAAATCAAATCAAGTATTTATTAATCATGTATGTTATTCAAATATAATCAAATCAAATAAAATCATGTATATGGAAAGGTTAGTAATAAATGTTTATACACAAGTATTTGTGTGTGTAAAGCATCTGTTTTGTGAGAAGTGCTTCTCATTTGAAATGTGAACGACCCGTACAGCTTTACTTTGACATTTCCTCGAGCGAGAATGATGTCCACTGAAAGTTTCTGTCTCAGACCACACCCACCATAAGAATACCATTGGTACCTTTTTGGCAGTGGAAAGGCAAGCCTGATAAAGGTGACCCGAACCGACCCGTACTGTACCACTCAGTGAAAATGGGCCATTAGAGGCACTTAATGTGTTTTTTTCTGATCGGATAGCTATTTCATTGTGAAATAGCTAGGTTGTGAAATAGCTAGGTGTAAATGGCCTGTAATGTGCATTCGAGATGGATATAAATACAATCGCTCAAGCAACTTCAGGAGGTAGTCTGGGAGGCATTCTAGACAAAACTGGACAGGTTGATTTTAACCTACATATAAACAATTTTTATGCTAAATAAGATCTATAGATTCTGTAAAAACAAATATTATTTAGATAAAATATGGTGTATCTGATGGTTTTAATTGACGTAACCTAGTAAAATTGAATAAAGCGTGGGATTTGAAGATCAGAATCATGTCTGTTTATGTGGCCAAATGTAAATGGAGCCATTTTCACAAAACAAATGCATCAAATGAATGTATTGATCAGGTGTAAATAGGATTATACTCTACCTTATGTTGTTCCAAATCTGCTTGAGTTTTGTTTTTATGTGTTCTAGAAAACATTGACATCAATCGTAGAAAAAAAAAAAACACAACAACAAAAACCATGGAAGTAAATGGCTATCGGTTTCCATAATATCTTGCTATGCATTAAACAAAGATAGAAACTCTAGCAGGTTTGGAACAAGTGAATGGTGAATGAATGATGAAAGAATTTTCATGTCAGAGTGAACTGCCCCTTTAAAATATGAAGGACATTCCTGTTTTTGTGCTAGTTTATAGATAATCAGTTATTATGCGTCAGGTTTGGCCAAACCTTGGGCTAGACCAGGTCACAAACAGATTTGTTTGAGGGATTTTGTTGTTGAGTTTAAAAAATAAATGAATGTTAATGAGCCTTCACCATGCTCTGAAGGTGGTCCCTGAGCTGTTGGGCATCCTGTGTCATTCGCTGGGCCAGCTGCTTTTGCTCATCGCTACTTCTGCAGACCAATCTCTTCTGCATCACTGCTCGGACATACTCAACAACAGTTAGCCACTGGCATTCCTCCTTTAACCTCTGTAGATGATAGAGATTGCATTTAGGGTTCATTTCTCACTTATAGGAGTAGTTTTTAAGACTGTCATTTCAGTAAACACTAACCTGGCGACAAGGTTGTCGCACTCTGTTGTAAAGTTCACAGTGACGTTCTAGAACCCCACACATATTTAGGGTCACATCTCCCTGGTCCAGCCAGGTACTAGAGAGGAGCTCTTGTAGATGTGGTTGCAACTCAAACAAGAGATGATCCATAACTAAACGACATGCCTTTCTTACAGCACGGTCCAGGGCAGCCAGAGGTCCAAGTGGGATACGTGAATACCGGTTTGAAACGAAGGAGCAAATCTGCTGCTGCAGACTTTCTGTAGAGGTTCTGGATGTGCATTTAAAGTACAAATTTAAACACTTATAAAAGTGCTTGAAACGCACATTTTCAAACAAGCTTCACATAAATACAGACATACTGTAAAAAGATACTTGTACACCATCTCACTTGAGAATGATGCAGTTGTTGATGCAGGCCAGGAGGTAATGGAGGTAGAACTTGTTAACAGTTGGATCCTTGCGATGCTCCTTACCAAATTCTATGACTGCGTCTCGAAATCTGTTTAGATGTAGCGAGAGAAAAATCACAAAAACATTGAAACTCAACCGTTATAATTGTGATATCCTGGTATTGCTAAACATACAAACCGACTGAGGAGCTTCTCCATCTCATAAAGACCCATTTGGATTGTCTGGTCCCGCAGAGCTTCACTTATCATCAAGGCCACTCGTGCATTCTCTTCTAGCATCTATCAATCCAGATTCATAAATATCAGTGGTGAAATCAGACAAAATCTTGCTTACTGTAGATCAAGCCATAAAGTACCTGAGTGATGATAGTTGGAAGGCTAGTGTGGTAGTAGCCCTCATGGTCAATATCTGGTTCCTGATCCCTCTGCCAGTCTGTTAGCTCCACTTCTAGAGCCTTTTGCATCCACTCCGAGACGCTCTTCTACACAATCACAGTCAAACTTCTCAAAAACTTGTGGTTTGTTAATACAGACAAGATGTGGAAAAGGTTAAACGTCTAGAAACAATGCTGGATCTTACCCGAACTTTTTGGACATATTTGTTTTGCAGCTGCTCAAGACCTTCCTGAGATATGAGAGGACCCAGGTTCTCAATTTCTAGTTCAGCTAAAAGGGCTGGCTCACCCATCATCTCTGAGCTTAAAGAACACATTTGAATGTACAAGACTGCTTTTTTACAAGTAAGAAAAAATTAGATATAACTTTAGGATGTACTTACCTGTTGTATATGTGCAAAACCCAGTTAAGAACAGCAAAGATTTCCCCACCCTCTAACTCCCATCCACTAACCAGTCCAAGATGGGTTTGCAGAAACTGGTGGCAGAAGTGCAAGTAAGCTCTAGTTAAATGGTAGTGAGCTGGAACACATTGTTCCAAACAATGCCGCACTGTTGAGAGATCTCCCATAATGCAGTGCTGCAGTGCAGACAAATGACTTGCAAGTCCTGGTCCTCGAGTGTGCAAGTAGGACACACTACGGAAGCGTGCTGACACTGCCTCTTCCATCACCTAACCAAAAAGTTTACACAAGTACAAATTAATTGGATTCGAATTTGGAAGCCTTTATGATTTTAGTTGTATTTCTACAAATAGCCAATACAAATTGACCAAATAGTCAATGCTTATCAATAAAACCTTAAAGAATCGGTCTCTCCAATTACGTGGTCTTCCTGCTGGCATGGGTATGTTGTGTCCGGAAGTTGACCTTCGCTCCTCTAGAAAGAACTGATCTAGTGCTTCTTCACGTTCCACTATTCGTACAGCTGAGACAAAAGGTGTTGGGTTCTGATGAGCAAGTGACAACCCGCTACCCACCACTGCCCAGAGCTCCTTGGCAAGGGCATCTACCAACCGTCCAACTCCTGAAAAATAATTCCGCACCAACTCCTCATCCTCAGAGTTCAACTCTGTTCCGGATGATCCCCTGGGTCCCTGGAGCTGTAGCAGTACCTCATCCTGCCAGCGCTCTAGTTCCATTAGCCGAGCATGAGCTTCCAATAGTCTCCGAGACTCCACTAGCCTTTCTGTCTCTAGCACCATACTCCGTACTAATAAAATAGAGAAGAACAGCAAATAGTTTTGCATTAGTGTAAAAACCTTGATATTTCAGTGGGTGATGGCCAGTGTTATCAGCTGTCTAACAATAAACATGTCAGTTTTAATGTCAATATTCTTGTTCTGGCTTTGTAGACTTTGTAGAAAACTCAACAGAGAACAATTTCATATGTATGTAATATATAGACCTGATGTTAGGCAAGAGTGTGTCCTCCAGGTTGCTATCCTGCAAGATTTAGCGCCCTTAATTTAATTAAGCAAACTAATTTATTCATTTATTCATTACTCTTCTCCAGACAGGTATGCTGGAACAAGTTGCAGCTATATTATACAGATCAAGGACTGGACACATCCTCTCTAAGAGATCCAAGGCATAATTCCATAAAGAGGATGTAATCTAGACATAATGTGCATAATGAGTGGGCAGTCCCTAACCTTTGTAGAGTCGAGGCAGGTTGCTTACTGCAGCAAGAAGCTGACAGTGACTGACAGAAATCTCCCGAAGTGTTTCCAGTGTAGTTACTTCTTCAGAATTTTTCCTGGACTCCAAGTTTGCCTTGTACAAGTCATGTGACACACCTCTTAGCTCAGCTCGTGCCTCTCGCAATTGACCAAGACCCCAGTCAACACCCTCCAGGTAGGACTGTACAACTGACTAAAGAAAAAATGTATAAGATTAATTGACATTTTTTATGCAAAGATTTTTAAAGGCTTTCTAATTGACCAATTATCAGTACTTACCTTTAACCTTGACTGAATTGATGCAGTTCGCTGACTCTCTCTTTTCTTGTACTGCCCAAGTTTCTCCAGATGCTCTGGACGACAAAAGACACCTGAAGCCCATTTCAGCGCAGCACCCCGTGCCAAACATTCAGCCCTTTCCAGCTCTTGCCACACCTCGACTGGGACAAGGGCCTCTGTCAATCAAAATTGAAAAAAAAAAAATATGTAGCCCTTATGTTACGAAACTAGACAAGCTTCAATTGTGAAATCAATAGTGAATTGAACAGTTGTTCAGCCACCTGACTTGGTCAGTGAATGACTTAAACACTAGAATTCTTTATTTTTCCTGGTGGTCATGAGACAGACAAGATTTTAACAATCAGCGCAAGACTACATTAGCTAAAAGTGGTTGACATCAGCTAAGTCTGCAGATGAATTGATCTCTTCTCCAAAGAATGACTCATATGTGTTCTGATCATTTCTATGTCAAAAGTTTCAGAATTTCCATTTCATATGCCTTAATCCCATGGGTGTTCATGAGCTGAAACACCCACTGGGAAGTATGTAGGAATTCAATTACTGAGACACAGCTTTTAGGGCATGATAAATGACATATATATATATATATATATATGACAGCATCATGCAAAACACTCTCAGAGGTTCATAATGCAGTGACCAATTGCAAGAGCTTGCCAGCTATTCAAACTAACCAGATACTTTTTTATCAGCCTTAAAAAAAAGCTAATGTTTCTTTTAACATTACACATGTAAACCTTGTATTTAATTGAACACATACTGTTTACCGATGATCATACAATAACATGTAAGTAAAAATATTGTTTGGAATATATTTAATGTCTAAAAGGAGAAACTGAAACATTGATCAATAGTTAGACTTCGTTATTTGCGAAATTAAATGGTGTAGCTGTGCTGTCCATCATGTTGGTAACAGTCTTCTTTTATTTATGGCTTGTTCTTTGGAATTGTGGATAGTGAAGTACCAGGAAATCAACTAATGATTTACAGTTTGTTCAAAAACCATATTCCTTTGCTTCAGAGGCTATTGTAGCCATGTCCATAAAGTTTTATACATTAAAACTCATGAATCATTGGTATTTTTCTTTACATATCGCTACACCTCTATATATTAGCCCTTAACTGTCCTGTGCTCTGGCTTGTTACAAATCTGACAAACAGTCAAGGCACTTGGTGTTCTGGGGTAGGGGGTCAATTATGAAGCTTTCCCTGGCAGAAACATGCTGCTTATATTTAATTTTATGACTTACTTTCATTCCTTCCTTTATCCTGAAGGCAAATACACACTCGAGATCTCTCTACCAGTGCAAAATGATTACATTAGAAACAAACTCCAAATCTCAGCAGTGCGAACAAACAGAAAGATTGTGTACCTTCATGATTGTCTCGGCCATTCTTGTCTCCGTCTGACATTTAGGCTTGTTGTTCCACCGTTCCACTTCTAAGAGACTGCCCTGCCCAGAGGGCCTGCTCAGTGCAGCTAGATAGAGCAATCAGCAGATACAGAGAGCGTAACAAGGGGGAAGAAGAGAGAGGGTACATACCCACTTCACCGCCAGCCTTCCTCTCACACTCCCAGACACATCCTCTGCTCAGAGGCCGGCAGGAAGGGAAGGGAGGAAGGGAGAGAGCGCAAGAGGGACGGAGGGAAAGCGGGCACTCCGCCCTCTAAATGATCCAGATGGTGAGTGTGGGGGTGGCCTTCATGTGCAACAGTGCCTCTCTGTGTCTGAGGTAGATATAATCCAATATGTTTCAGAGGAAGTGCTCGGGATAATCGAACAAAGGTTTTACATGGCTTGACATAATCATGCCAATCAGTTCTATTGTTGCAGAAAGTTCTTGCCGATAGCTTGTTATCGCTCACAGCTGCTGGTTGTAGAGCAAACATGATAGGAATCCAGGTTCAGAGGCCCCTTAATGAATGTGTTTATTTGTGTAAGTGTCGTGGCCTGTGACTTATCCCATGACTGTGTTTTTGCCTTTATCTATTCTCCAGACTAGTCGCCACCAAACACAAACCCATACAAACATCACAAAATTAAGTATGAATCCACAAACACAGCTGATGTAAGTAAGTGTATAAAAATAGACTATAAAAGTTTCTGGAATTGTAAATTGAGCGTGTCTGCAATTTAAAATTCATAGATTGATTAAAAGGCTTTGGTGTCTCTGGGCACTAATACTAATACTTCTGCAGTCCATATTCTGCAACAGCTTGTGTATTGTCATTCTGACATAATTTTACTCATTAAAGGGCACCTATTATACCTTTTTTCAAGATTTAAGATAAGTGTTTTGTGTCTCTAGAAAGTGTCTGTAAAGTTTCAGCAAAAAACATCAGGGGCCTCATGTACGAAGACTTGCGTGGAAATCTTACTAAAACATTGCGTACGCACAAAGCTGTAAATGTGCGTACGCAGAAAAAAGTTCAGGGGCCTCATGTACGAAGACTTGCGTGGAAATCTTACTAAAACATTGCGTACGCACAAAGCTGTAAATGTGCGTACGCAGAAAAAATTTCAGATGTATGAAACACTGCGTACGCCGAATCTCACGCATATTCTTTTGTACATCTGAATGAACGTGAAACTGAGCGCAACATGCACGAGCACAAAACCCCTCCCTGCCTCCTCCCCCGTATGAATATGCTAATGACTATGCTAATGGCAAACTCAACGAAAAAGCAATGGCAAAAGCAAACAAAAAGAGAAACTTTGAACAGAATGTGAATTGGAGGTGCTGCTTTCGGAGGTAGACCGGAGAAAAGCGGTGTTATTTGCAAGTTTGTTTTCTGGAATTAACAACAAAAGAAAAAAATAGAGTGGGAGAGTTTGGCTGATGCGGTTAACACAGTTGGGTCTGAACATCGCACTGAGTGCATTGAAAAAAAGACATAGTGTGGTTTATATCTGTAAAATGTTGCAGCACCCTCAACAGTTTCAGTGGCGCTACTCGTTAGACGCATGTGATCATGAATAGACACGTTCGAGCATGAACTCGGCTCGAATCCAGCGTCTGATGAACTCTTTCTTGGTTTTTCCCCCGCTACATATCAGATTTTGCCAACTATTTATCACGAGAAAGACAAGTAGGAATCATCAATAAGTTCATATCAATAAGCATCATATTTTATTTGCACATTTATTGAATGGAAATGTTTCTGATTCACGCATGCAAATTCATCTTCAGATAGTGTCTTTATAGCAATGTGCGTGCGGTAGATCGCTCAGATTACATTGGGAAAACAGGCGACTGCTGCAAATTGTGCTTTAATGTTTGGCTGGTCAAATGTATGTTATGGAAACCTTATATACCTGCTGAACCCGTCTCATACAGCTGCCATTGCAAGGCTCAGACACTTTGTAGAGAGGAATTTAACACAACTGCCTCTAGGAGTCGCCAATGGAAATAAAACACACACGCACAAAAAATGTGCGTACGCCTGCCAGAAAGCTGCCGTGAACCTGCGCACATTCTCACGTTCAGTTCATTGTTAGTAAATCCAAACGTGAGCGATTGTGAGCGTGAAACCTGGCGTACGCAAAGTTTTTGTGCGTACGCAGCGTTGATACATGAGGCCCCAGGGGCCTCATGTACGAAGACTTGCGTGGAAATCTTACTAAAACATTGCGTACGCACAAAGCTGTAAATGTGCGTACGCAGAAAAAAATTCAGATGTATGAAACACTGCGTACGCCGAATCTCACGCATATTCTTTTGTACATCTGAATGAACGTGAAACTGAGCGCAACATGCACGAGCACAAAACCCCTCCCTGCCTCCTCCCCTGTATGAATATGCTAATGACTATGCTAATGGAAAAACCCAACGAAAAAGCAATGGCAAAAGTAAGCAAAAAGAGAAACTTTGAACAGAATGTGAATTGGAGGTGCTGCTTTCGGAGGTAGACCGGAGAAAAGCGGTGTTATTTGCAAGTTTGTTCTCCGGAATTAACAACAAAAGAAAAAAATAGAGTGGGAGAGTTTAGCTGATGCGGTTAACACAGTTGGGTCTGAACCATAGACTGTCTGAACATCGCACTGAGTGCATTAAAGATAGAAATAGTGTGGTTTATATCTGTAAAGTGTTGCGAAACCCCTACCAGACTCAGTGGCGCACCTAGTAAGACGCATGAGATCATGACTAGTTACGTTCGAGCATGAACTCGCCTGGAATCCAGCGTCTGATGAACTCTTTCTTGTTTTTTCCCCCGCAACATATCAGATTTTGCCCACTATTTATCACGAGAAAGACAAGTAGGAATCATCAATAAGTTCATATCAATAAGCATCATATTTTATTTGCACATTTATTGAATGGAAATGTTTCTGATTCACGCATGCAAATTCATCTTCAGATAGTGTCTTTATAGCAATGTGCGTGCAGTAGATCGCTCAGATTACATTGGGAAAACAGGCGACTGCTGCAAATTGTGCTTTAATGTTTGGCTGGTCAAATGTATGGTATGGAAACCTTATATACCTGCTGAACCCGTCTCACAGCTTCCATTGCAAGGCTCAGACACTTTGTAGAGAGGAATTTAACACAACTGCCTCTAGGAGTCGCCAATGGAAATAAAACAGACACGCACAAAAAATGTGCGTACGCCTGCCAGAAAGCTGCCGTGAACCTGCGCACATTCCCACGTTCAGTTCATTGTTAGTAAATCCAAACGTGAGCGATTCTGAGCGTGAAACCTGGCGTACGCAAAGTTTTTGTGCGTACGCAGCGTTGATACATGAGGCCCCAGATGTATGAAACACTGCGTACGCCGAATCTCACGCATATTCTTTTGTACATCTGAATGAACGTGAAACTGAGCGCAACATGCACGAGCACAAAACCCCTCCCTGCCTCCTCCCCCGTATGAATATGCTAATGGAAAAACCCAACGAAAAAGCAATGGCAAAAGCAAGCAAAAAGAGAAACATTGAACAGAATGTGAATTGGAGGTGCTGCTTTCGGAGGTAGACCAGGGAAAAGCGGTGTTATTTGCAAGTTTGTTCTCCGGAATTAACAACAAAAGAAAAAAATAGAGTGGGAGAGTTTAGCTGATGCGGTCAACACAGTTGGGTCTGAACATCGCACTGAGTGCATTAACAAAAGAAATAGTGTGGTTTATATCTGTAAAATGTTGCAGTACGCTTAACAGTCTCAGTGGCGCTACTCGTAAGACGAATGTGATCATGAATTGATACGTTCGAGCATGAACTCGGCTCGAATCCAGCGTCTGATGAACTCATTCTTGTTTTTTCCCCCGCTACATATCAGATTTTGCCAACTATTTATCACGAGAAAGACAAGTAGGAATCATCAATAAGTTCATATCAATAAGCATCATATTTTATTTGCACATTTATTGAATGGAAATGTTTCTGATTCACGCATGCAAATTCATCTTCAGATAGTGTCTTTATAGCAATGTGCGTGCGGTAGATCGCTCAGATTACATTGGGAAAACAGGCGACTGCTGCAAATTGTGCTTTAATGTTTGGCTGGTCAAATGTATGGTATGGAAACCTTATATACCTGCTGAACCCGTCTCATACAGCTGCCATTGCAAGGCTCAGACACTTTGTAGAGAGGAATTTAACACAACTGCCTCTAGGAGTCGCCAATGGAAATAAAACAGACACGCACAAAAAATGTGCGTACGCCTGCCAGAAAGCTGCCGTGAAGCTGCGCACATTCCCACGTTCAGTTCATTGTTAGTAAATCCAAACGTGAGCGATTCTGAGCGTGAAACCTGGCGTACGCAAAGTTTTTGTGCGTACGCAGCGTTGATACATGAGGCCCCAGATTATTTATTATAACACTATTTAACACTATGTAGCTATTTTTGCTGCCTGTGCCTTTAATGCTAGTTTTCCCTGCCCACCGCTCTCCAGTGTCTGTCAGAGTATGCATCAATCTCCGCCTCTGCTGCATCAGATAAACAGCACAGTGACAGACATAAAGGAAGCAGATCCTGTGTAACATTTTTGAGAAATACTACAGTAAGAACTTTCCCAATGATTATTTGATGTATTTGTTGTGGAGTTAATTCAAGTCTTTCTGCATTGATGAGTCACACACAATGTCGTTCCAAAGTTCACTCACACACACAGTGGATGCACACACAGCGCACGCGTTTAACTTTGCACTAACGGATGTCCGTTATGTAAATGTACAAAATAAACCTGATTTAATGTCCACAAACTGGGATTGAATTGTCGTCTTTTATAATTGTACTGACATGCGTCAGTGGTGATAAATTACAGCAATTTTACCGTCTTTAACTTTATTACAAACATGCACTGTTTTAAAAACCTTTAAATACTTGTAAAACTCATGCTTGATTTTTTTTCATGATGATTGATGATAACAGCGAACTCAACATATCTTTTAATCGCAGTTGCTTTGATATAATTATATGCGCTTCTACAGACACATGTTAATACGTGGCTGTCAATCAATTCGGTGGGCGGGAAAACTACACTTCTACGTTGCAGTGG